AGCCATCTTTTAGTGCTGGCAGCTGTAGGTGTTGATGAGCCACATTTTCAATTTTTTGGTGAAAGCCTCGTATGTTGGAAGCAGTTTTACCTCCTCAGGTACTGAGTTCCACACACCTGCACTCCTGACTGACCAGGCCGACTGACTGAAAGTGCTCCTGCGCAGAGGAATGTAGCAGTCGCCTCTGGCAGAGCCTCGAGTGATCCGCTCAAGGCTGTTTCTTTGGCTGATGAACTCCATAGATAGCCATAGAATTGGAAGACTGTGTTCCATATTCTCCAGCCGCTATAATACTCTCACCAACTACTCTTGATAAATCAAAATATAACCAAAATCCAATAATACATAACTTAATTCATATATGACTACCGCTGAAGTTTGACGAAGCCAGGCCATACGAGTGTTAGAAAAATGAAGTTACTATTTAGAGACTTGCTACGGACTTGGACAAAAAGAAGCAGGCACTGGCGGTGGCAATGGGGCTCGAAGGGAGAGCCAGAGAGACTGCTTTGGAAATACCCGCGGATGATCTGGAAACCTTGCTAGCTAAGCTGGATGCGGTATTCTTCAGAGAAGAAAAAGGCCGCGCTTATGAAGCATGTTCCTAAGTCTCTCCCACTTTCCAAAGCAGCTCTCCTGAGACGTTTGTTTTTGACTGACGGATTCGTTTAGCAGCCGGGCATAAAAACTGACAGTCAAGTGCGGGAAACGAGCACAAACGGAAGTGACGGGAAGACGAGCTAGTCATGTTTCAAAAATATAACCAATAAACCAATAAAACATTTTTATTCTATCTGTGCGGCCCGGTACCAAATGACCCACGGCCCGGTACCGGTCCGCGGCCCGGTGGTTGGGGACCGCTGGTCTTGTGGACAATGCTCCTGTGTAAATTTCAGGTAAAATCTTACTGAAAGTCGATTTGTCCTATAACTAATAGTGCCAATAGTCAAAATATGGGGGAAAACAATCTGACCATTGTCCAAAAGGAGAAATGTACCCTTAATTTCCTCAAGCTTATTAATTTTATAAGTTATGATATTATTATACTAACTCAAATTTCAGGATTTGTTGTGCGACAGGCACTGAAGCAGCTGTCCTGTGATGCCAGCCTGGTGACAAACGCTGCATCTGCCATTAAGGACCAGAGCAAGCACCTGCTGTGTCTATAAAACAATGGAGGTCTGGTGATTCACCACCGATCTCTGTCTCTCTGTCTCTCTCTGTCTCTCTCTCTATATATATATGTATATATATATATATAT